ATATATATATATATATATACATACACACTATATATACACATTTGTCCTTTGTATCATACTTGTACAGCCTTTTTTGGAACACTCTTCTCGAAATGCTGCATGCCTATCCGATGCGAAAGATTATTAAGGGAAAAAACGAACGATCGCTAAGATAACCCGCGTCGTCGCCTTGTTCGTAATTAAATGCTTCGTTAATGTAAATTCCTTTCTGAGATCTTTGATTTCTACGCGTCTCTATTCATCATTCATTCCTCATTTACTGCCGGTATTCGAAAAAGGTATAAACAGTCTAGAATTGTATTACAATAGTAATACTCGTTGACTCAAAAGATGCATCTGATCGCGCATTAGATATAATACACATTGGAGCTAATTTTGAGAAATTCTATTTCTTAACTACTTAATTTCTAATTTTTTCATTTTTTTTTTTACTGTAGATCTTAATCCAACCGGCAGATTAAGATGACAGACGCTTCAAAGCTAGACACTGACGGTTATTCGTGCATTATATAATATATATCGAACGCGTCAAAATTTATAAATAATTTTTATTTTTTAATAAATTGTAATACTTTTATTTTAATTACTTGCCTTAATGCATTTAATATTAACACATCGTCCAGCGTATCAAATTTAAGCCACGCGTTAACTTTCACACGAAATATGATTTTTATTTAATTTAATAAACCTAATTGTTTTTTTTAGATAATAATTATTCATTTAAATTTTAATCAAAATAATTTCCTAATGCGTTCAAAGCTTAAAGCTCAAAATATACTTATCAAACACACATATAGAAAATGAGACATAATTTTAATCTTTTTCTCGTCTGGCAAATTTTCTCACATCACCGATTGTATCAATCGATAGATTAAAAAACATTATTGATAGGTTAATCTGATTCGAGATACATTTTCTGTGCATATGCAATAGTTTTGTTTTTTTTATCTTTTTGTAATTATCTAGCGCCCAAATTAATCGATAAATTAAATATCGATGGATACTTTAGACTGTCACTCCGATCGCATTTTGCGTCTTGACGATGGCAGGCAAGTAATCCGTCATCCACGATGTCGTTTCTTCGTCTTCGCTGTTTTCGGAATCTGATTCTTCCGGTAATGGTTCCCGCATCGCGCCATATAGCATTAGCTCTTTGCGTGCCTTCTTGGTGAACTCAGTGTTGACATTCAAGCTCAGTTGATAAGCTGTTCTACCACCGTATGTTCGATCATTCAGACACGACGCTCGTTGGCATTCCAGTAATAGAAAATCGAACAATGACCAGTACTGATGCTCCACTGCGAGATGAAGTGCCGTGTATCCCGCCAGACCCTCCTTCGCCTTGAGATCAGCCCCTAAACGCAACAAAAGTCGTACCAGATCCACGTATCCATTGGTGGCAGCCACGTGCAGGCACATCTCACCTGAAATGAAAAAGCAAATGAATCATACAATAATAAATCGCAAGAACAACGTACTTCTTTTATTAGGATTTTTTTTATTAGGATTTTGAAGAATACGAATTATCTTAAATTGCAAATCAATTGGCTGATCAGACGATCTAACATAATAGCAGCCACAAATATTCTATGTCTATTCCTCTATTTTATGTCAATAGAGTCACGCTGTTGAATTCTGTATGATGCAAGTCAGAGACGGAGGAATGCACACGTCAAAATGAGTGATGCGAATCATATGTCTCCGACTCGCTACGAGACATAGATAGAATTAGGAAGACGCGGTGAATCATTGTCGTCGGAGATTTGGCTAGAGTCCCGCAATCCAAACTAGGCTCGCACCGATCAAACTGCTAAAATTAACTGCACTGCATTACCAGTTGCATTGGCGGAATTTAATGTGGCATAACTTATGCGCACATCGCATTTGCATCGATATTGTACTCTTTCCTCTCGATGACAGAAATAAACCTGGGAGATTGCGAACATTCATAAGTATAGTATAGTTCGCGTAGAAGTACTGTATAGCTTCTGTTTTTTCCGTGCAAGAATCATGTATGGTCGATTGCGCAGTGATATTGAAAATATCAACGAGATTCTTAACTTATTGTTAAATGTATAAAAGGATGTTGTATTTAGAAGTGTGTCTAAATAATACACATTGCTAAAGTATGTGATATGAAAAACTTGATTAAATTGCAACGCGATTATTCGAAATTTGGAGCATAGGATGCGAGGTCCTTATACCTAGTGTCATTAGGGTCAAACGCGAAAGGCGATCGATTTTTTAAGGATGAAAGTCCGACAGAATCCATTAGCTTCGACGCCGCTGTGGGGTTTCCCGATCTAGCGAGCTCAGCTAAGGCGAAGCGAGACGAGGCGAGATGAAGATATCGCGTGGCACGCAAATAGTCTTGTAGGTATTTTTAAATATTGAAAACATCTGACCGTGCCTGCCCTCCGTCACGCGACGCGGCGTGGCGGCGTCGCGACGTGCTGCGCTATGCCGCAATGTGACGAACACGCGCACGCAAGCACAGAGTCATGCCGAATTCCATCATATACGCGAAAGTATTCCGCTTCCGTTCGTCAGGAAACATACGACGTTCTCTCCCCAATGGAATCACAGACGATCACATGAGGTCGTTCCTTCCTTTTAGTTACAAGAAATAATAGTCCATATCCTCTTTAGCAAATTAAATCATAATCGAAATTTTGTCTTCATAAACAGTTCCGTCTAATTTCAGTTTCTATCAGTTTCCATCTAATTCCAGTTCTACAGTTTCCAGCTAATTCCAATCACAAGAAGTGTTATTGCGAAATTCGATCGCATTTATTTTGTCCGCTTCTTATTTTTCTAATTATCACTCATTTTATCTTAATCGTTTTTAACTTGTTTTCAAAGAAAATAAATGGACTTTAAAACACGATTATTTCGAATGAATCAGTGATTTCTCAGTCACAGAATTCATACTAAGAACTTAATTTCTTATTCATCCTTAATCCAATCCTTAAGTCTGGATGAATGTCGTACGAGTTATCTAACGTCCGCACAGAAATTAGATTTGCAATTTCGTTGTCGGTTTCGATTAATTGATCACAACCCGAAATGATCGCTTACGCCACAATCGGCTCCGCACATGCGTACGTTATCCGCGAATTTGTGGAGGAATACACGTCGATGACGTTCATGTGGAATTTCCAAGACTTTGAAAAAATCCGAAACAAATATTTCGCGATGAATGATGCCGCCGACCAGAATGATTTTCTCTTTCTCACTCTTTTTTTCTGTCTCTCTGTCGTGCGTGCGCGCGCGTATATGTGTGTGTGTGTGTGTGTGTGTGTGTGTGTGTGTGTGTATCAAAGTAGAAAGTATACAATTTTACAATAATTTAGCTTAAAGAGTGTAATTATATAATAGTATTAAATTTTGTAGACTTGTGCATTGTATACAAATAAAAGTTACTAATTCTTATCTGTAAGAGATACAACGCAAAATAAATTTTTAGAAAAAAATTTGTGCCTACTCTATATTATACCAATCTTTTTTCCTCCGACTTGTTTTTATGTATTTTTCATCACCGTTTTCGTTACAATATCCCATAGCTTCTGTTTTTACCGTGCAAGAATCATGTATGATCGATTTCGCAGTGATATTGAAAATATTAACGAGATTCTTAACTTATTGTATATATTGTTAAATTCAGGATGTTGTATTTAGAGGTGTGTCTAAATAATACACATTGCTAAAATAACATTGCTAAAGGAATTCCTCGTATGGGATATTATATATGTGTATGAGTACGCATAAGTGACTGTGTTATTTATTATCAAACTATCAAACATCGAGTAAATATGCTTATTGAAAATAGCCTAGAACAGGCTTAATGAGTCAATAAATTGGTCACGTGTAAGATTTAAAACACAAAAATCTGGTGTGTCACACCAGATATGCAAATCACGAAAACACCATTAGCTACAGCAACAAGTACACGAAGACATTAATAAGGATAACGTAGTTGATTATATTAAGTATTCTAATTTGACAAAGTTTAATAATAATAGTGCGTTGTTCATTTGGTAAATATTGTGCTTATCATTAATATGAAATTTACTGGCAAGGGAGAGGGTCTCCTTTTTAAAAATATTTTATAATAAAATATTACATATATTTTTAATATTTCTGCTTAATCAAATGCTTAATCACAATTTTGATAATAAAAAATCCAAAAAAATCAGGGGAAATTATATCTTAATTAAAACTTAAAACTAAATTGACTGCACATCATAATCATATTAAACAGAATAGTAACAACCAATTGGTGATCACAGAACATCGGATTGAATTTGAACATGACTTCAATTGAGAGAATGTAGCGATGTACTAGATGAAGAACATTTTCTTAATAAACATTTAATATCTGAGTGCCTTCATATACTCATGCAACAAAATAGTCTCAATTTATGTTCGGAGAGTACATCAAATTTATATACAATTATTAAATAACATTAAATAGTTACATTTTGTCGGTTTATACAAATTATTGTTTATATATTGTTTATATACATTATTCTTTTTTCTTTTTATTTTCCTTGTTAACCTGACATGCCTTTCTTATTATATTAAATGTATTAGTTATGTTTTGTTCGATCTGCGATCAACATGCGTTTTTTAATTTGAGTGATTCTTTAGTGATTATAAATTTCAATTGGTTTTGATCCAATGTCGAGACGAATTCCTTCTATATCTTGGGATGGGTCACCAGTTTTTTAATGTTAATTTTGTAATTTGTTGGACAGAATGGTTTCGAAATATTTATAAGATAATTGTTTTAATGTTTCGAATAGATCATTACAACATCAAATCTGTTAATCTGATGGTGATTTTTTTCTTGGACATGAAGGGATTGATATTTTGAAATTGTATTGCTAAGGATGATTCCATAGTGAAACGTATTATTTTCTATTTTTTGGAATAAAGATTCTATTTTTTTGGAATAAAGATTTAAGATTGCGTATTAACTATCACGACTCTCATTCGCCCTGATTTTTTTGGATTTTTTGTTGTTGAATTTGGGAGAGTCCATAAGAAGATTACATCATTATTATTATTCACGATTATTATTATACATTATTTACAACTTTGATGTTTCAAAAATATTTTTTAATTTAAGAAACTTTAGGTTTTTGCTGCTCTATTATAATATCGCGATATGATATGTTAAAGTCACTAATTGTAAGACTACATAAAATATTACTGTGTCTGCCGATAAGTGTCGCTCTATTGAACGAAGTTTTTCAGTCCTTTGACATTTGAAAATTTGGAACATAAAGATAGAAATTGTTAAAGAAAATGTTGAATAGGTTTACCAGAAATATAAAATATAAATTAGATATTTTATTGTAAAATGTTATGCCTATACAATGTATATTATTTTTTTTGTTGATATAATTTTAAATAAAATGTTTTATAAATTTAATATTTACATAATACTTTTTAAATGTAATGTTAATGATCATTCAAATAGTCTATCTTTTCGAATTTGACTTTTAAAAAAATGTCGCTTACAACGCGCAAATTTAATAAATAATAAGGACGGAAAGATGTAACGAGAATGACGTAAAATAATTAAATTTTCCCTCTTTCTCTGTTAATTCAATTGGCGCATGATATTTCAGAAATCCGGCAATCCAAAAATCAATCCAAAAATACATATATAAGTCCCCCCTCCCCCTTGACAAATGTCTGAATTCGCCCTTGATGAAATTAAACATTGAAGAACATTAGTTTTTATACGAGTTTAAATTTCCAATTGTTTTTGTTTCAAAATAATTTTCACGCTTTTATTAATAAAATAAATTTTATTTGAAATGCAATAAAGACTAATATTTTTATTGTCTTCAATATTACGGGAATTCGCTTTTGTTTTTTAACTGTTTATGGTTTAAAAAATTATTTGCGTTTACACATATACACATAAATGCAAATATATACATAACATGTTTGCATATATTATATTTGTAAACAGACAAACAATTCTATAAAATCTATCATTGTAATATTTATGCGATTGCAGAACATTTGGTATATAATGATTCTGAGAAATTTGTTAAATTCAAATTACCTCAATAGAATTATATAATCTTTTTTTATAGAAGAAATATATTCTTGATACATTTTTAAGATGATGAAACTTTCAAACATGCGTAAAGAACATATGATGAAATTACAGGAAATCCGCGCAGTTCCACGTGTCCATAGATCGTAATGTCATCGCTCACTACGCAAAGTCTTATATATGATTTATTCTGCATAGTAAAAGCAAGGATTTTCCACTGCCACTTCGACGTTCTTTGTGCCACGGGCATGGATCATCTTTTTTCGCATTAACGTTACGGTTATTAGTGATAATTATATTGCAAGCTTTCAAATAACTATTGCAGGAATAATCACGATAAATAACTTATGTCTGAGATCAATAATTCTTCATTGCATTTTTTAATTACGAATGTCTTTCGCTCTAACACTTTTCCAATTTTATCTAATATAATATAATCGTGTTCATAGTTTCAATTATATTTATTTCTCATCGCGATTCTCAATGTTTCTTCTCAAAACAAGTGAGAAACTAGTGAGAAATTAAAGTTAATAAGTATCGAGTGCTTACCGCTATAATTACGTTGTTCCAAATTCTGAGGTAAGGCGGGTATTATCTGTCCAGGCATTAATTTGTTCCTTTCGATCGAGGATAATGGATCTGTAAGAGCCTTAGCGCAAGCAAAATCTCCGTTTTTGCATGCCAGATGAAGGGCTGTGTTTCCATGAAAATTCCTTAGGGATAGATCTGCGCCTGCCAAAATCAATCGCCTGACGATTAGTGGCTGATGCGTTAATACAGCCAGATGCAAGGGTGATTGCCAGTCGTAGTTCATGATATCTAATAGACACGGATCAGGGACCATCCTTATTAAACAAAACGCAGCCTCCATGAAGCCCTGCACGATCGCGATGTGCAGTTGCCTGTATAGATAAAAAATACGTTACATAAGAAGAGGAGGCAAACTTGATTTTACTTGACACTTACAACTAGAATTATTTGTTAATTTTTAATATTGGAGTTCAGTATTTATTCGTTAATTCTTGAAAATATTTTTCTGGATATCTCTTTTTTTGCCACAAGCATCTCCTTTTTTTTATATAAAACGTGCGTCACTATGCAATTTATCTTGTTATTGTTGCTCATTTGAATTCCCGAAAAGCGATTCTTATCAAAGAATGAAACTTATTTCATTAAAATGGTCAATGAGCCCGAGTCAGTCATACGTACAGCGCATGTCAAACGTATGTATACTTAGGTTATTCCACTTACACTAATGTCAATAATATGTGCTTAAATTGACGTATATGCTATATATTCGTAAAAAAGAAATGGGAAAATAAAAGCAAATCGCGATAATAAAGCGAAAGATGATTTTTTCATCTCGATTTTGAAACGAGGAATCCAGTCAAAAATAAATCGATTCGATGTTGATTGATCAATCATTTCTGACTGGGACCGGACGATTAGTCCTGCGACTAATTAAATAGCTACGTTTTTTAAAAGTTATTTTAATTAAATTTTTTTTCCCATTTCTTTTTTTTTCCCCGCGCGGTATATTGTCGCCACCACTGGATCGTACATTAGCATAGCATGTAACATCATATTTGACCACCCTGGACCACGATCGCAAACTCGATCTATCTGCAATAAGCTGTTAGCAGAATCACAAACTAATAGATCTCTTGATTTACGAAATCAGTAAATGTAAAAAAAAGAGACAGAGTCCTAAGCTTTGCTACAATTATCAGAATGTTTAATTAAACAAAAACAAAGTGATATTTTATGTCATTTGTTTTGATTATCCAAATGTATATAGTACATCATAATATTAGCTTCTAATTACTTAATTTCGACATTAATGTATAAGAAATTCAGGCAATTTATTCCTACTACAAATGCTGTGTCCTACTACAAATGCTTCCAAGTATTTGAATGATCAATCAAAACAAAAAATTTTATTAATTGTCCAATCAAAGAATACTTAAAAGCATTGTTTTGTAGCGTCAAGTGGACTCTAGTCTCAGATACGGAAGATATGGCTAACTGATTTCGTCAAAGAAAAACAATATCAAACGAACATTTAATGAAATAAAAAGAAAAGATTAATTTATTTTTATTATTTATATGTATCCAAATGTATATAAATGTATAATGCAATATTTACTGTCAGGCCTGAGAATTTATAGTGCACATAATGCACAAGTACTATTTTCAGCACTAACAGTAAATTGGAATGCAAATATACATCACTATAATGAGCTATTAGTATCTAATAGTAATGCTAATTAAGTATATTAGTTTAATTTAATTTAATTTTAAAGAAATTTAGGCAATTTGCTAGGTAATGACCAATGAAATTATCAATATTCTATTAAATTCGTTTCACTTTTAATTTTCACCTTGTTTCAAGATACAGAATTAACCCCCAGGATTGATTTTCTTCAATTTGAAATGATGTGAAATCATGCCTCTTAAATCAAAGATAATTCTCTGCCTTTCCTGGATATATTGCCTAAATTTCTTTAAAATTAAATTAAATTAAACTTAATAGCATTACTATTAGATACTAACTAATAGCTCACTATAGTAATGTATGTTTGCATTCCAATTCACTGTCAGTGCTGAAAATTTATAATACTTGTGCATTATATACACTATAATTCCTTTTCTGATCAATAGATCATTCATTCCGAAAAGTTAATAAATGAAAGAGATGAAACAATTGCCACTCACGTGTCACCGTCGTTGTCTTGCGTATAGTACAGCTGCCAGGGTTCCTCATTACTCGTATGTTCTTCATCGCTGGCTTGTTGGTGATGCTGCTCGAACTTGGTGTTGTCCTTGTTGTTCCGCGTCACAGGCAATAATTTGGGGGTCGTCAACTCAGCCTGGATCAGTTTGCCCTTGACGGCGAGCGGGTTTAAATTGACCTGCTTCAGGCTGAGCTGATTCAGGGTTTCGGTGAGGTCGAGGTCTACACCACTATCGATCGCCTTCATTGATTCCTCAATTGCGATCGCTGTTGTTGTTGCTGATGATGATGATGATGCCGCTGTTGTCGCCGTGACCCGTTTCTCCTGCTTCACTTCCTTCCTCTCCTCCCACTCTTCCTGCGAGTGCAGCAACCCCGAATCGCCGCTAATCTCGCCGCTGAACTGCAGATTGCCGCCCGACAGGAATCCGGAATCTATGTTGCCCGCTTCGTCTTCGTACTTACAACCGACGTCGTCGTCGTCGTCGTCGTCGTCGTTGTCATCGTCGTCGTCGTCGTCGTCGTTGTCGTCGTCGTCATCGTCGTCGTCATCGTCGTCGTCGTCGTCGTTGTTGTCGTTATTGTACTTTCGCCGCCTGTGTTCCTTGTCGTCCTCTGTAACACATTCTTTCATCTGGGTGCTTTTGGGATGCCACATTTTTTTCTTTCGAGTCGTACCTTCAAGATCCAGAAAATCTCCTAGCTTTTACTTCGGTCTCTTCGCGAGAGAAAAGCACTACTCTTTCTTATTTTCCTTTTCTCTTACCGAAACTTTTATTAAATATCTATCTCGAATCGATGCTTTCCAATCGGTGATCGTGAAATAAAGGAAAGAAGAAAGCAATACGCGTAAACGAGAAATTCTAACAAATGAGCGGCTAAAAACCAGACCGTTTATACTAGCTTGGCCGAACTACCTATATGGTTGTGTCCTCGCCTCGTCGATGCGATCGCGCGGGAAGAGTTTTGGAAAATTCCCACGCACAATGATTCTCGTTCGCAAAGTACGATGTCTCGTTATGCGACCACCACTTTTTCGTATAACCTTTGCTGCTATACATCAAGGTGCGTCAGGATGCATCAAGCGACAAGCACCTTCGATAACGCACTTGTTCGACTTCCGTACCCACTAGTCGAATCCCCAACGACTCCAATCGCGACGATGTCCAGCTCTTCCATTCGTTCGTTCGTTCGTTCGTTCGTCACGTCGACGTATATATTCGATCCTTCTCTTGCTCCTCTTTCTTGTCTTTCTTTCCACGGAACAGCTGTGCCTCGCTGTTCCCCGCACTTTGATCCGCTCCCCTCTCCCACCTCACGTCATTTTCTTGAATGGCGCTCGCATACTCTCAGCTCTCGCACATCCAACTTTCAAATTTTACCTCATTCTATTTCATTCCCAATACCTTTCACCGACCCACAAAACCGCCGTTCTCGACTTCAAGAGAATTTATTTTTCTTTTATTCTATCTCGCCATCAAGGAAAACAGATGGAAAATGTCCTTTATCGTATGATTTGTGCGACGCGACGAGTTTCGTGATGAGTAATCGCAAATGAACGGACTCCTACCGTCTCGTAATCTTAGAACGAACTGATCAGTGAATAGTAGAAAGAGAGATTCGCGTTCCAAACAGTGTTTTTTGCGCATGCGCGACATTATCAAAGAGGGCATGCAAAGGGACGTACATGGAGCTTTTTTCTTTATAACCGAATCGATCGAATTCTAAATCGTCGTGGACACAAGTCTTAAAAGATAAACAATTTAGTTGAAAATTGAGATCTTGGAAAAAGAATGAACAATCACATTTGAACAATTTGATTATATGACCAATGCGATTGGTCAATTCTTTCTCTGTCCAAGATCGATTTCTTTTAGATATAAGGTTTTACTCTTCGATGTCCAATGCATATTAATGTAATATGCATATTTCATTTTAAATGCAGAAAATGTAATACTCAGTGCAACTATCATAGATTGTTGTTGTATTAATTCTTTTTTTTATAAAGACTCGTTTAATAATAAAATTAACTGATTCTTTAAATATTGTATACAATGATTTATGATTACATGATTTATGAGTATTATATCTTTTGCATTTAAAATAATATGCGTATAATTGGACATCGAAGAGTAAGATCTTGTATCCACAATGCTAGAAATCGATTCGAGGAAGAGAGGCCCAAATGGTATCTTTAATTGCTTGAACTAGACACTTGACTGAGATCGCATTCGGATGCGCATGCGCAAGAAAGATAGCCGTTAAATGTGAATGTTAGCGCGGAGCGGTAATTTCTAAACGAATAGAGTAGGGGCAGAATGGGAAAACCCATCGGGCAGGGCAGGTGCGTAGCTGATGTATCTGTATATGCAGTGTAACCGATACGATACGGACTCTCATTCTATAGATAAGGCAGCAAAGAAAACGATTTGCGTAACGATATTTCGTGTGAAATTTAACGTATGGAGCATCGAGCATTTCTACAAAAATTTCCGATATTTAATTCATTATCATAATATTGACAATAATATTGTAATGCTGACGATAATATACTATTTTTGAAATATTTGTCTTTTTAGAAAAAGAAACGCAACCTCCCTCTGATTAATTCTTTCATTGTTATTTAGAACGCACCTTATTGTAATAGCAGTTGATAAGATAGAGTAGTGTCGAATAATGTCAAAGACTCAGGTATTTAAGATCCGAATTTACAAAAAGTGTTTTAAGCTTTAAACCATAAGAAATTGAACTACAGTCGAATGCGAGAATAAGTGATTGTGATTTATCCATTCTTTATGATTTAAGGCTTAAAAATCTATTGTAGATCCGGAGTAAAGGAAATATCCACTGAGTGTTTTGTATCCTTTGCGGTTGCGTGAAATTCTTCTGTATCTTTTATGACATTAGGTTTTTACCGCAGATAAAATGGACTGCGAAGAAAATGACATGAGGGAACGTCCCGCTTATACAATTCGCGTGAAACGCGAATGAAATAACACATTGCATGTGTTGAGCCTTAACATTGAATTAATCATATCTTAAGGGTATTTATAGTGATCTGATCTTATATTCAAACTGTGATTATAGGCGCGTTTTTTTTTTAAGTAAAAAGAATTAATCAGAGGCCAGTACTCACACACAGTCAACTTCTATTATTCTATCTATGCTTTATACATTATTTAAGATAGGCTAATTGAAATAAGAATAATGGATTATAAATTATGAGTATCGGCTAGTTTAACGATTTTTCTAAAATTTCTTAGATAACTTTACAGGAAAGCTAATTGTTTCTACTTCACCATGATTTTAATAATAAGTTGAGAACATTTGTTGAAATCCGCTATAATAATCAATTACAATTAATTAATTTGCAAAAACGAATAAAAAGTAGATAAAAAGACCTATTTTTTAATTTTCTTTTCTAAAATCTTTCTAGAAGATCTAGCTTTAATTACAAACATAAGCGAAAGAGTAGTAATGGACTGTCAAAGAATGGTGGAAATGAGGGATTATAGTATGTATACTTATATGTATATTAATTATAATATTCCTGTGATTTTTTGAGAAGCCTGAAAACAGTTGAAAGTTTCATCTTTGCGCGCTTAATATGCGTGAATTCTTACTCTTACATAATACTTTTCATCACACGCGCGCATATCTCATGTTCCATTATCGCCAATAATACTTGTTTCTTTCGTAGTACTATAATTCATGTGTAAGTGCTGTTGTGTAGTGTGTCTCCTGCTATTACGCGGAGAGCATTAGATTAATCAGAGATAATTATTTTGAACGAATACGCATACATGGAGCATCGATCAGTTCTGTAGAAGCTCCGCAGAAATCCTAAAGAAATCCCGCGTGTTATGTCACTATATCAGAGATTGAATATTATGAATTGAAAATTAGACTTCGATTAATTGGAAAACTAAAATGAAATAGAAAAATAAAATTATAAACTTATCTAATTGATTGAATTCTAATTTTTAATTCACATTCTCCAATCTCCGATAACCAGACTTTTGAAAAAAATATGCTCGTAAATAAAACTCACTCGCCACCCTCTTCCACTTACAGATTTAAGGGATCATTTTTTGTCGACGTGATCTTTTTGTTGATCAGACTGTAACGTTTTAAGTTGAGATCCGTATCGAGCGTTATCTCACAAATTAGATTGTAAGCTATCAAAGTATTGTAATTTTGTATTTATCAAGCTTTGATTTTCGTTTCTATAAGAATCGATGAATATATAAGTGAGAGATTCTTTTCCACATGATAAATTTTTCGTCTCTTATTTTTTGTTATTTTCTTATTGCAAAAATGAATCACATATTTAATGTGATGTATCGCATAGGAATTCGAAATGCCAGCACATAAGAGCATCATTCGGCAGTAAAAAAAAAATTACTGTTTAAAAATTGCTGCAAATCGCAATTATTAAACAATAATTTTTATTTCATAATAGTAATTTTTATTTCTCCAAGCTATGTGATATTTGAGAATGAGTTGATAAGCGAAGTGAATATTATAGTGAAGTAACAAAGCAACTTTTTAAGATTTTATACTAATATTTGCCTAGTAATCCCCTTCCCCATTTTATTCGGTTTAGAAGATTCGTATTATATTTATCTATAATCCTTTAGTATTTGAGCGAATTTGTAAATCGTTTTTGCGTTATAATTGTACGAAAATATACTGTCGCTTCTTTATCTAGCACATATTACAATAAAAGTACTAAATAAAATTTAAATAAAATTATTAGAAATGGCTCGATAACATAAAACATAAATAAGAAGGAGCATGCAGCAAGTTTTTCGTACAAGTCATATATTTAAAATTAATTACATATAAACGTTTCGATCGAATCAAGTTGACCATCATCAGTACAATCAACATGCAAATGTTAAATATTAACCGTGTTTTAACATACAAGTTATCAAGAATAAATTCTTAATTTCATTGTAAAAGAGATCACGAAGACAGGATTAATTTTTGGATTTTTGTACTGCGACATCCTAATGTGCTAATTTAGTATTTAACATTCTCTTGATTATACTGATGATGGTCATAACTTGATTGAAACGTTTACATGTAATTAATTTTAAATATATAATTTATGCGAAAAACAACTTATGTATGTGGCTGTATATTTTTTCTTATTCATGTTAAAAATACTAACTTCAAATGCAATTATCTTTTAATCCTGGTTATCCCTCCACCTCTGCTCAAAATGATATATATGTATAGAGAACATCATTATTTTCAAATAGTAAAAGTTTCAAACAAATCTTAAGAAAAGTCACTTTGCGAAACCATCTTAAAAAAATATTTTTAAGTCCAAAATTTTCGAAAAAAAATTGCTCCAAAAACAAGGTGAATTTAAAAATACCTAGATAAAAGAAATTTGGGAAACAAATTGCTCAAACAAATAACAACATCGAATTACATGTTAATACAATAATGAATGTTACCATTATAAATTATAATGAGAGGATAGGCAGAATAAAGGTCTAATTACAAAATCTTGATTTTAATAAAAATTTAAATAACTTGCTACTTTTTTATTATATGCAATGGATGTAGTGTTAAATGAATTTATACAATGTCTTTAAGAAGTTATATATGTTACAATACTTTCTTCTCTACGATCAATATTATATAAAAAATTAATCTCTGGAAAAAAAGTCTAAGTAGAATTATGCCTTTATTTCACCCATCTCCTCAATTGTAAACTAATAATATAATTGAGAAGTGGGCGGAATAAAGGCACAATTCTACTTTTCCTTTTTGTGAAAATTAGTTTTTTTTATATAATATTGACCGTAATAGAGAAGTATTGTAATAAATAATTTCTTAAAGAGAGACATTGCATAAATTCCCAGATAGCAAAGTGTCTCAGCAAATTTGTTAT